ATGCTCAAAGAACTGTTTTGTTGGCAGGAAAGAAGACGGAGGGAAACATGCATCCAGGAGTGGGCTGCTGGGGGTTCTCAGGGGTTCGAGAGAGCCCCTAGCTAAGATTCTGTACAGTTTGGAGAACCCCCAAATCCCACTCCTGGCTGGCCCCGCCCAGCCCTCCCCTCCCAGGAGTTCCCACGTGGCTTGTTTTGGATGCAGGTAAGTGCAGGGCGTGCACGGAGGCTTGGGGAGGGTGAAAAATGGGCCTCCCGGAAGTTCAGGAAGGCTGGAAATGGGCCCGTTTCCGGCTTCCAAGGAGCTTCTGGAGCCCGGGGAGGCCGTTTTCACCCTCCTGGAGGCTCCGGGAAAGCTTCCAAAGCCTGAGGATGACAAAAACGCCCTCCGTCGTGGTGCAGAAGGCCAACTAGGCCGTGCCCACCCAGCAACCAGGCAGAGAACCCATTGCTAAAAATTTTGAAGCCCACCCCTGCATGTATCCATGTTTGGTACAGAAAAGGATGCCACAGCCATAGGGAAGAAGGTCAGGGAGTCTTTTCCATTGCCACAGAAGCTGGGATCAGGAGTAATGAGCATAAAATACAATTTACAAGAAAGGGCTCGTTTAAATAAGACCTGAGCAACAGTGGAACAGTCTGCTTACGGAAGATGTGGGCCTTAGACCTGGAGCATTTAATGAAGAGGCTGGATGAACTGCTTTTCCTGAGTATTGCAGGAGACTGGCTTACGTGATCCTCGTGGCCCCTTCCAAATCCATAATTCTATGGCTGTTGCCAGGAAAATAACATGGATGTGTCCATGAAGTCATTCAGATAAACAAATTGGTGGAGGCCGACTTGAAGGCTAGGGGGGAATGGAAATTAAATCCGAACTGAAAGAACTGCTTGTTGTCTTTGAAACTATGGAAAATTTTAGCACAGCATCTGAACTGGCAGACTTAAAGCCAGCTAATTAAGAATTTGCAAAACCTTCCTTGGTTCTGAATTGAAATACAAAATATAATATTTGTTGGATAGGAAGGACACAATCACAACCCCCCCCCCCCCATATAACTTAACCCCCTGTGAATCTATATATATATATATATATAAATGTGGGGTAAGTTTAGAATGTTTCGGAGGTTTTTAGTTGTTTTTTGTGTGTCATTGTAATAATCCGTTGGTTGTTTCTGAGATGTTTTGGCTGTACCTGTTATCCTTTTCACAACTTGTGTTGGTTGTACTGTAGTGGATTTGAGTGATTGCACTTTTTGCACCATTTGCACCATTTTGTTGGGAAATGTTGTCTTGGCAATCTGTTTCCTTTTGTTGATGTTCTGAGTAGCTGCAGTGCATTTATACTCATCCAGATAATGTCTCTTGCGGGATATTGGATGGTTACTTCAGTAATGGTTAGAATGGATTGCTTTTCCAATAGACTTGCTTTTCTGATTTGCCATTGTTTCCTGTGCTGGTGAGGATATCCAGGAACAATTTACATGTCTTCTTTTTCCTCTGTGAATGATATCCCTTTGAAGATATGTTGATTGTTTTATGTGTCTCTTCTAGTTTGTTTCTCTTTTTATTGTGACAAACATGCCATCTACATACTAGATCCATACTTCTAGTCATACCGGTACTTATGGGAGTAATTTCTAGATCTGTGTTACAGTCTTTGCTATGAGCTATGTGAGTGATGATCCTCCCAGGGTGTTTCTCTGACTTGTTGATTTATTTGTCCATCATACAGAAAGCAAGTGGGTGAGGCAGAGGTAGTGGGTATTTCAAGATTTATGTATTTGGCAAGATTGGGTGTGTTGTATGCTTCGAGCCATGGATTTTTTTCACTAGTTCTGGATCTATTTATTTATTTATTAGATTTGATTGACACCCACCTCGCACCAAGGTGTCTCTGGGCAGCTTATTTATTCAGTTATTAGATATGAAAGGCTGCGATATTTGAATGAAACCATAATTTCATCTTCTTCTATTTTTGATTTTCAAGAGGCACTGTAGTGGGAAGTTAATAGAATATTTGCTCTTCTCTGTGATTACAAATGAAAATGAAAAATATTGAAGACATTAAACAGTAATAAAATTAAAGGAAAAGGAGAAGGTAATCAAACCAGAACGTAAAAAATTCAATAACAACAAAATACAATTTCTTAGTGCATAACCAGGAGAGTCTGCAAGGTGGGGGTGGGGGTGGGGGGGAATCAAGGATGACGGTTGTAAAAGTGCAATCAAAGTGCCCTCTATTTTTTTATGAGCACTACACTACAGGTAGTCCTCAAATTATGACTACAGTTGAGCCCAAAATTTATGTTGCTAAGTGAGATATTTGTTAAGTGAATTTGGCCCATTTTATAACCTTTCTTGCCACGGCTGTTTAAGTGAATAACCTCAGTTGTTAAGTTAGTGCCCCTGTTGTTAAGTGAATCTGGCTTCCCCATTGATTTTCCTTATCAGAAACGTGATCACATGACCCTGGGAGGCTGCAATGGTCATAAGTGTGAACCAGTTGCCAAGCATCTGAATTGTGGTCCCATTAGCACGGTGATGATGCAAAGGTCATAACTGTGAAAAACGGTCATAGGTCACTTGTTTCAGTGCCATTGTAACTTTGAACAGTCAGTAAATGGACTATGGTAAGCCAAAGACTACCTGTATTGCATGGCCACCATTTTTTTTTTTTTAAGCACAGCCTGTGAACTGTCTTGGGCTTGTCTAAAAGAGAGTGGGATTGGAGCTGTGTGCCTCTCTAGGGGGATTGTGGATGTTGTTCCAGGTGGCAGGTGTTGTTCAAAAGAAATCACATTTAAATGATTCTAAAACTCAACACCCATTTGGTGATCAATAATCAATAAAAAAAAATAAAGGAAAATAATGACAACTCCCTGCTGGAGTTATTTTTCCAGATATACTGTATATTTCTTAGAAGGAATGATATCGAATTTGTAACAGCCAAATTCCTCCCACACCAACTACAATTGCTGTCACCTAAACAAGTCGACGGAGAGATTTCCAGCATATTCTGGCCCATAGCTGTTATTTGTTTTGAAAACAATTAATAAACCAATATGTTTGTTACTTTGAAGTTACTCCATCTGCAACTGGAATCTGAAAGCGTGTCTAGCTATGCGATATGCAGCATTTGACCCCACACTGTATGGTTGGCTAATGGTCAAGGGAAAGGAACTGAACACTGGGTGGCCCTAAGTAACAAAATGAAATTCAATGTAGAGAAAAGTAAAGTCCTACATTTAGGCAAGAAAAACCAAAAGTACACATATATATTGGGAGAAACCAGGCTTAATAGCAGTAACTGTGAGAGGGATCTTGGAGTCTTAGTGGACAACCAATTAAATATAAGTCAACAGTGTGCATTGGCAGCCAAAAAAGTCAATGCAAGCCTAAATTGCATTAACAGAGGGATTCAGTCAAAATCAAGGGAGGTACTAATACCACTCTATAAAGCCTTATTATAAAGACCACACTTAGAATCCAGTTTTAGTCACCACACAATAAAAATGACGTTGAGACTCTAGAAAGAGTGCAGAGAAGAGCAACCAAGATAATTAGGGGATTGGAGGCTAAAACATATGAAGAACAGTTACAGGAACTGGACATGGTTAGTCTAGTGAAGAGAAGGACCAGGGGAGACATGATAGCAGTCTTCCAATATTTGAGGAGCTGCCACAGAGAGGAAGGGGTCAAGCTATTTTCCAAAGCACCAAAAGCCAGACAAAGAACAATGGATGGAAACTGATCAAAGAGAGATTAAACCTGGAAATAAGGAGAAACTTTCTGACAGTGAGAACAATCAACCAATGGAACAGCTTGCCCTTGGAAGTTGTGGGAGCTTCATCACTTGAGTCTTTCAAGAAGAGATTTGACTGCCATTTGTCAGAAATGGTGTAGGGTCTCCTGCTTGGGCGGGGGGTTGGACTAGATGACCTACAAGGTCCCTTCCAACTCTGTTATTCTGAATTTCCTTGTTCTTGCTATCCACTGCCACAAGGATAGATGAGAAATGTGCAGAGTGAGTGGAAAAATAAACTCGTTTAATAACGTTCTCTGGATCAGAGATAAACTTTTGGTTGAAAGTAATCATCTTATGTAGCCAAGAGTGTGGGTGCATACTGTACTCTAATGCAGTGTTTCTCAATCTCAGCAACTTTAAGATACAGATCCTGCTGGTTGGGGAATTCTATGAATTAAAGTATGTGCATCTTAAATTTGCTGAGGTTGAGAAACTCTAATCATCTTTTACATTAGCTTATGGAACTCACTGTCACAAGATGACAACTGCCTGTAATTCAAAAGGTAAATAAGGTACATTCACAGGCATTCACAGAGGTACGTATTCACAAAGGGTACCTATGGCACAAAGGATCTAAGATCTGTTATAAGTAGGGTTGTCCACAGGGTATGGATAAAAAAATAAAGTCAATAGCAACTGTACAATTAAAGCTGTTTCAAATCTTTTTTTTATTAGACCTTACATTTTACACCTTTCTAACTGATGAATCTATTCCCAGAGATATTAGAGTTTTAATATATTTAGATCCTAATATTGTCCATCCAACCAAAGATGCTATATATGTATATTCCAAAGTTACCCAAATTGAAAAAAACTAACACCAATTGTTGGCTTCTAATATTTAATACTTGACAGTAAGTGAGCAGGATGATATAGCTCCAGATTCCAAAAACCAAATCCTTCCTGGTAAGGATCTGTCTGGTAAATGCATTTACTGTAAAGATATTATTGGAATCAAAGAACTTCATATAATTTTTGTAAACAAAGATGTATAGCCATATACATCAATTAAGATTATTAGAAGGAATAAAGTTTGCCCTCTTTGCAACTATTAGACACCTTTCAAGGATAATTCCTCCACAAAATTTGTTGCAATGATCAAGAGAGGCTATAATTGTATTACCAGATCAAAGCCTCTACATCCAGTCTATCTGTAAATATTAAAATCTGCCTTGTTTTTTGGGCTGTTCCAGATACACCTGGCTAGCTGTGAAAAACAGGAGAACACTAAACCAGATGGATGGGTACTTTGCATTTAATTTCAATGAACCTGTGCACAAAGTTGTCCTACTAAAAGCAGAGCCGTAACTGATAGCCATTAATAATGGTTTCCTTCAGATAGAGGAAAAGATTATTTCCATCAAGAATAGAAAATGATGGGATTTAAGAGAGAAGAGCACAGAGGGCAGTTTTGGAAAAGAAGTGTGTGTGAGGAACAGCGGCAAAAAATATGAGTCACTCAGCAATGCCCTTTGGCCCTTTTTTCTTCATGCTGTGCCATTATAATGTTCTTTTTCTTTCCTTTTTTTAAGAGGACCAGCTGAACATGGAAAGATTGCAAATCTCTCCTAGGCCCCTTCAAGTTAAACCCCTGCCTTACCCTTATTTTGGCTTTGTAGCAAAGGCAGACAGAAGACACCAAAGCCTCTCCTAGCCAAGAAACCCATTATGCAGCAGGGAGCTCTAAGAAGGTAGACGTGATTGAGAACAGTGTGGTTGAAAGGAAGGGAATTATCCTTAAACACATAGCCCAGGGGGCGAGAAAATGGCTGGGGAATTAATAACACAGGGCCTGATCAAAGCCACAGTTGCACAGTAACTTGCCAGTTGATTACTCACAGATGACCCGGGAGATGAAAAAACTAACACTTAATTTTTTTGAATACATTTTTGCCAGATGAAGCAGATGCAGGGAAATGGTTTTTGAACAAGTATATTAGGGGCTTCTCAGGAAGGATCTCTTGAAGCTGTTTTATGTAGCTCCTCTTGGGGGCATCAGTTGCCATGAATTTCCTGCCCCCTCCCCCTCCCAAGAATATTATTGGGAGGAAATGAAGCTACCTAGGAAAAGATTGCCTGCTTTGCTCTCCCTTTAATCTAGCATCCACAGCTTCAGGGGAGGGAGGACCAGACACCCCAGATATATGGTCTTGGCCTTGCATTGGCCAGCTGCTACCTATGACTCTTCTAGGCACTTCTCTTTCTTGTACAAATGTGTTGGTTGGTTTCTCTTCTTTGTCCCAGGCAAATATACATGTCCCAGGATAATGCTGCAGGATCCAATCTGAGTTGGTCACCAGGACCAGAGGTTGAGTCTTCCAACCAACCTCATGGAATTTCTCTCTTTCCAGAATGTGTACACTGGCCTAGAGGTGGAGATCTTGCCTCACAATCAGGAGGCTGCGAGTTCAATCCTAGGTAGAGGCTAATATTTGGAATAGACTCTCCTGCTCGAGCAGGGGGTTGGACTAGATGACCTTCCTACTCTGTTACTCTATGAAACTGTTCTAGGCATAGTATTTGTGTGGTGTGCCTGCTTGCTCATGGCACCACAGAAATACTACGCACAGAACAGCCCAGAGTACACAGTCCAGAGATAAGTTCTCTGAGGATGGACTCCAGCAAAAGAGTCCAAAAGTTTGGAAGACTTAAAGCTTTGGGACCGGTAACAGACTCAAATTGGATCCTGGTATTGGCAGGTCCAAAGAATCACTTTGACAGGTGGCCAGACATATCTGCTAATTGTCTCCAAAGGCTGGGAAGACACTTATTCCCTGCTCATGTTTTTCCTTTCTTATTAGGAATCACTTGCTACCCCAAAAAAACTAAGCCCTCCGTGTGCAGTTTTTTGTAAGATCAAAAAGATTGCTTCATGAGGAAAGAAATCTCTCATTTGGTCTTATTTCCCCTGTGGCCAACCAAATACGAGAATAAAATGTCCACGAAGAGTACAACAGTTTTCTACCAAGGCTTTTTTGCTTAGCAACTGCTATTCCAAGATAGACTGTTCCTGAATCTGAAGGTTCCATGTAAAATTCACTGTTACTTTCCTCTTACATTACTCTAATTCTTCCTTTAAAGACATGCCTTCATCAAGCAATTAGCATTAAGAGATTCAAAATAATTTATTACGAGATTTATAATAAATTAGACTACATTATACAGAAAACATTCTTCCATTTGGACAGCATTTCAACATTTTTTTCTACTTCTGGAAAATAACTGGTGAAAACTATAATGTTACTGAATGAGCAAGACTAAAAATTTTCTTTCTTTCTTTCTTTTTTTTTTTGTATATTGCAGAGGGCTGGGGAATTATAAATGTGTGACTTTTGTGTCTCAGAGACTTAATGTATCCATTTCTGCCCTTGTTTGGGTTTGAAACATTAACAGCAAAATTGCCTTGCCAAAAAACAGCCTTTTTTTGCTGCCAAAGTTGATTGCTAATATATATTTAAGGGGAATTAGGTAGCCATACAGAGCCTGCAAATTGTCGCTTCGGCATTCTGCGTGATTCTACCTGAAGGCTAAACTAATTTCTATATTTTTTCTCAAAATGGCCTGCCTGCTGAAGATTATGCCAACAGTAATTTGAAATACCCATTTCAGGAGAGGTGCCTTAGTTTGAACAACTTCAGAATGATGGTTGTATATGTTAGTTTTAAATAAAATAAACAAGATTCAAGAAAGGAACCTTCTCCCAATTATATCTCCACGGATCGGCCTTCTTCAGTCTGTGCTTTCCAGGTGCCTTGGACCACAAGTCTCACCATTCCTGGTTATGGGGACTGTTCTGTCCTCACTACACGTTAGTCTGTGTGCAGCTCAACATGCAGCTATACCCACTATCCTTTAATAAAACAAACCGTATGCTTTATTGAAAGAACAGGATATGGTGAAACTGGGGAAAATAGGGATACATACAATGAAACCCAAATACAAGTTAAACAGTATTGGTTACTGATGAACATAACAATTAATAAATACAAGCAACTTAAATTTCACCAGTGATGCTTTGTGTGTGAGAAGTGGGTTTGTCCTTGGATGCCCATGTGCCACAGATTAAAATAGATTCTTTTTTTGTGCTTCTGCCTTCTCCAAATGCTAAAGAAAATGGAATCTGGCTTCCCAGCATGCACTTGTTTTGAGAATGTGGGCTGATGGATAATGGGGTGGGGTCAGCTTCAAACAATATACTTGGTATTTGTCTCTCCAGCTACTAGATAGGGATACAGTACAACAACAGTATATAAAGATAATATGTTGGGGCATATTTGTCCCTCCGGCCACTAGATGGGGCTAGAGAGCAACAACGGTTTGTAAAGATTATATGCTGGGGCATGACAAGGACCATGGTGTCCAGAGAATGAAGGGGGTTACAAGTTAGTAAAGCTAAAATGTAGTAGTTTGGAGAAGATTGCTCTAGAATTCTTTTCCACATCTATTTGCTGCATTTTGTTTTATTGTGATTAAATGATAGCATATGAGTGCCAACTTAAAACATCTGTATATTAAATGATTCCCCTACTTTATAACATTTCTATTAAACAGGAACTCAGCTTTTCCTTGCAGTGCTAAAAGGGCTGATAAGGACTGTTCTATGTTGTAGTATTGACAGAGCCTGGGATTTTACTAATGCAGACAAACATTTAAAAGAGATTGTATATAATTCCTTGTCACATTTCACAGGGAACGATGCTGTCTCTTTTCTCCAACTTGTAACACAATGGCATATCAAGCAGGACAAAACATTAGGCTGGAGATGAATTTTATAGGAGACAGAAAATTCAGATGCCAAAAAGTAATTGGCTCATTTATTTAAACCCGTCTGCAAATAAGCAATGTTTCCTGAAAATTGTTGCATTTACACACCATCCCCTTCAGCTGAAGCTCTTGGGGCACAAGCCATCCTCATCAGTAGTTTGGTGCAAAGCTTCTTCAGAGAAAGGAGACAAGCTGTAGAGCGGGGGAGGGAGGAAACCGTGGCCTTTTTATGACTTGTGGACTTCAATTCCCAGAATTCCTGAACCAGTCATAACAGGGACATAAAAGGCCCCACTCCTGCTGGAGAGCAATATGGAGGTGGCCATGAAGAAAGTATTTGGGTACCATTATGTAAACACCAGCTTAGCAGTGAAAGAAGGAGGGAATGAAGAAAAAAAACTCAGTTTTGCTCAACCTTGAGTCTCTTTGATGTAAAAAGAGGGAGAGAGAATCTCTATTTGGCTTTCAAGATTCTGTTATAATACCCTGCAAGAATATAGCACAGGTAGTCCTTGACTTGCAATGATTCACTTAATGATCATTCAAAGTTACAATGGCACTGAAAAAAGTGACTTATGGCCATTGCTCACACTTAACAACCATTGCAGCATCCCCAATGATCAAAATTTGGATAGCAATAGCACTTAGAGTTATATACCACTTTACAGTGCTTCACAGCCCCCTCTAAGCAGTTTACAGAGTCAGCCTATTGCCCCCAATAACAATCTGGCTCCTCATTTTACCCACCCCGGAAGGACGGAAGGCTGAGTCAACCTTGAGCCTGGTGAGATTCGAACTGCCAAATTGCAGGCAGCCGGCAGGCAGCAGAAGTAGCCTGCAGTGCTGCATTCAAACCACTGCACCACCACGGCCCTTATGCTTGGCAATTGACTCATATTTATGACAGTTGCAATGTCCTGGAATCTCATTATCTCCTTTTGGGACCATCTGACAAGCGAAGTCAATGGAGAAGTTGGATTCAGTTAACAACCGTGTTATTAATTTAACAATTGTGATTCACTTAACAACAGTGGCAAGAAAGGTTGTAAAATGGGGCAAAATGCACCTAACAAATGTTTCGCTTATCAACACGGATGTTGGGCTCAATTATGGTCATACCTGTAGTTCTTGGGGAATCTCTTTCCTGAAGCTTCCTGATGCTACTCACTGATATAAGCCAATTCTTTTCTGCTGCAAACTTCTGCTTAATTCTGAACTGGCTTCATGCTGATTAAGCTAATGGTTTTTTTTAAAAAAAGGCTTTATAACCTGTCTGAATGATTTGCAATCTAATTTTTAGATCTAAATTTTTATCCAACTTCCTGAGAGAAGCTCGTTCTATTTTGGCCCATTGTAGCACTTTCTCTTTTCCTCTTTCTTCCTCTCAGTTCTCCCCTGCAGGAGAGTATTGATGTGTGATATTGATAGAAGAGCCAAATATTCTCCTTAATTAAATTGCAGAAACCCAAATCATTTAGCTATGGAGATTAAAAATAAATAAATGCAATCTTATTAAATGGAACACTAAAGTGGTGAACATAAGCAAGACATTTGGTAGGTTTGATCATTTCTCTCTTTTGTAAGCAGTGGGAAATTTTATATGAGGCCATTGCCTGTGAGGCAAACGACAACAACAAGCAGGATGGAAGGTGAATAATAGCACCTTGATTTAAAAAAAAAGATTAGGACTTTATATTCAATGGAAGGGGTTGTCATTAAAAACTTTCTTCTCCTTGTTCCATTTTTCCCTGTTAGTCCAAAATATTGATATATTTTTGAATCGTGTTTATAATATAATTTCTTTTGTGATCTCTTTTACTGACTTGGAAAAAAAGTGCTAATTCACCTCAGCAATGCAGAGAACCACAGGGTTGCCCAGAGCTCAGATTTGAAAGCAAAAAAAATGAGGGAAAGGAGTGCAGACAGAACAGTTCCAAACTCTATAAACCCAAGGAATCTCTTAGTGCTGCAGCTGTGAGGGCAAACATCTGTGCCCAGCACTTTAAAGAGTTGCAGATTGGTGCTAGGCAAATACCTTCAGATTTCAAATTAGCACTTTTGGCCTTTGAAACCAAAGCACTGCACTGTTCCCTCCCAACCCCACCACACCCCATTATCTTGGAACGAGTTCATTTGAAATGTGTGGGTTCATGCCTCTTGGCCCATGGTTCTTCTTCCCACTGGCCCTGGAGATTACTAAGTTTAAGAAAAGTGTTATTATTAAACGGATGGATGATTCGCAACCTTTTCTTTATGATGATTTCTTTATGATGGTTTAAACAAGGACCCCCTTTAAATACCTTTTGCAGCCACAGACCATGATCACGGACCCCCAAAACTTAACTCAAGATTTAAATTATAACATTTCTTCAACTCTTTGCATTGAGGCCCCCGGGAGGTCCACGGACCACAGATTGAGAGCCAACTGAGGTAGAGGTCCAAAATTCAATCCATTATTTAATTTTAATGATATCTTGCTTTGAATCAGACCATTTATGAACAGCCGAATACATTTAAGAAGTAAGACAGGAAGAAAGGCAACAACATCCCCCGTCATTGTCCTTGGTAATGGATTGTTCTGTCTCCCCTTCCCTTTCCCCAAAAAGGTAAGGGATTATACACACAAACAAACACAGACAGGCAAGCTGGCTCAAACTTCGCAGAGCAAATCCTCTGTAACTGATAACATTCTTGGCATACCACTACGTCCTGCCTGTCAAGTCCGAGCTGGCAGCAATTGTAAATCAAAGTCTTACTCACACAGAGGGAAATGGGTCTTTTACTTCACAAAGCACAAGGCAGTCCACAAAACAATCGTTCTTCCAACATAGTCACGAATAAAGTCTAAAGTAAGTTAAACTTTGTCCCATACAAAGTTTAAGGAGAAAGCACACCCACTTTTATCCCCTGTGGGGTGTGGCTCAGTGACTCAGCTCACTCTCTGACCCTCCCATGCCTCCTACATTGCTGCTCACGTTTCTCCCTACGACGCTGCTTGGGGTCGAGCCAACACTCCTCCTCTTCACTCCCTGTCAGGGGCTGCTCCGACATGCCTTCCTCCTGATTCATCTCAGGCTGTTCCTCTTGGTTGTCTGATGGAACCTGAGGCATTACCAGGGAGGAAGGCATTGCCAGTTCCTCCCCCTCATCTTCCAGGTCCTCTTCCTCTGACAGCATAGGCTTGGGAGTCGGGGCCACAACAATGGATATTCAAAAAGTTACATGGCTTCCCAACGTAGACACTTCAAATAAATTTCATGGCTAGTAGCCATTGCTAGTAGCCTCAACATACAGGTAGTCCTTGACATACAATCAGGGGTTGGCTGCTAGGGGTTCACGAGAACCCCTAGCTAAGATTCTGCAGTTTGGAGAACTCCAAATCCCACTCCTGGCTGGTCCTGCCCACCCTGCACCGCCCCTCCAAGGAGTCCCCACACGGCCTGTTTTGAATGCAGATGTAAGGCTCGGGGAGGCTCGGGGAGGGTGAAAAACAGGCCTCCTGGAAATTCGGGAAGGCCGGAAACGGGCCTGTTTCCGGTTTCCAGAGAGTCTCCAGGGAGGCAGTTTTCACCTCTGGAGCCCAGGGAGGGCAAAAACACACACACACACACCTGCTGTGGTGCAGGAGGTCGAGTAGACCACACCCACCATGGCCACGCACACCCAGCAGCCGGGCAGAGAACCCCTTGCTAAAAACTTTGAAGCCCACCCCTGCGTACAATCATAATGGACCCTGATGGTCATAAATCAGGTCACCCACATGACCGACATGATTTTGCTACCTTGTTTGCAGCAACCATTCCGCAAACATAACTGTCATAAAATGAATGCACCAATCTTTAAACAAATGCCACGGTCATTAAGTGAACCCATCGCTCAGGATGACACTGTTTTGCTGAAAACCAGAACTAACTAACTACCTGTTTTCAGAAAAGTCGTCCTAAAATGTGTCACATGACTGCAGGATGCTGCAAACATTTGCAAATGTGGCCATGTTGCCAAGCACTTGAAGTTGTGATCATGTGACTGCGGAGGGTGCACCTTGGAACTGAGTCATAACTCCCTTTTTGGCAGGTAGGTTGTAACTTCAAACAATCACCTAGGCCCGTGATGGCGAACCTATGGCACGCGTGCCAGAAGTGGCACGCAGAGCCATTTCTGCCGGCACATGAACCGTTGCACCAGATCAGGTGCACTGTGCATGCGCATGTACCTCCCGCCAGCCAGCTGATTTTCGGGTACCTGCCATGCATGCATGGGGGGCGGCGCGCATGACAGAGATGCGTGCGTATGTGCAGGGGTGCACAATGCACATGGGGGGGTGTTAGGAATCTACCCACCAATTAGTTGGGTTGGCAATATATAAACCAACAATGTATGTTTGTAGCTTTAAGACAAAATCACTGTATTGATGTATACTATATTCCAATTGGTATATTATATTGCATAAGAGGGAGCTAGAGATCATAGCTTGCTCTCTCTGACATTCTGTCTCTCTGACATTCTGTTGCTATCTAAGGTTCTCTGTTGTATTTATGCTGTGCTTATACTTTGATATCTTTGTTTACTGTAAATGACAAAGGCACCTGGAAGAAGACTTTGTAATTGGATATTCTTTGGACTGTAAAACGTATATGACCTGGACCGTTTATTGGACTGTGCTATTTCTTAAAGTAAACTTTAACTCAATTCAGTGTATCTGTGTGTGGCTGAATAATTATTCATAACTACTCTCATAAATGTTTCCACGTGCATATCCTTGTTACTCAAGGGTTATTCTGTACATATCATAACAGGGGGGTTGCACATCCATGCGCAGAGGTATGCAGCACACGCCAGGGGTCGCCCATGCTTGTGCAGGGGCAGGGAGGTCACATGAGCAATGCATTATGGATGCAGGCATGTAAGGACGAAAAGATTAGCCACACTGACCTAGTCATAAATCAAGGACAACCTGTAATTCCAATTTAAAACCATTTCAACCAATAACTGAAACCCAAACATTACGGTAATGAGTTCTGTACGATTTCTTGAAGGACTTCCGTTTCCTACCTGAAAAAACTAGAGAAGATCCTTCAACAGAAAAAAAAGAATTTGATGCAAAAACAAGGAAGAGTAATGGACTTGAAAAGGAATCAATCTTGTGGATCATAGCCCACATCAGCAGATGTACAGAGTATAATACTGGATAATTAATTATAGAGCAGGGCTCTGCAGAGTTTTGGAATTGATTCCAAAAAATATATATTCTGGAGTGGGATGGAGGCTTTAAAATGTTGCAGGCAATAACCATGTTGGTGTCTAAATGCTATGAAGCACT